ATTGACTATGCAGCTTTACAGTAGCCATAAGATTTATGGGTTGCATAAAGTTGTTCTGGCAGACTGTTATATTTAGGCAGAAGTTGATTTGCCTTATTTTATCTGGCTCTTCTGTTTGAAGCTGTTGCCTTTTGTTGGAATTGGGGTATTAATTGCAGTGGTTTCCTCTGCTCTTCTTGGAGCCAACACTTTGGTCCTTAATGTGTGTTTTTCTCTTGTTTTTTTTTTCTTGACAAGAGTTGTACACATTGCTGCCATGATAATTTAGCTAGATATTCTTTTAAAAAATGTTAGCAGTCTGTGGAGGGAAGGCAGTAGGAAATGAGGTTTTTGGGAGGCGGATTAATTGAAGAGTGCCTTCTCCCTTTCTTTTAATTTCTCTTAAGATTGTTAAAGCTGTTATCACAGTTTTCCATGTTGGAATTTTTAATTAGTTCTATGTCTTTGGGATTTATATGTAGATTTAGGCTGAAGTGCTCAGCCTATGCTGAGTTGTCACATATAAAAACAGATGTGCAGTCAAATCTTCAAAGCTGTTCTGCAAAACTGGAGGTATTTAGAACTGGATGAGTCAGGTTGAGATAATGGTTTACAGTATACAGTTTCATTTCTATTAATTGTTCAGTAATGGTGTTTTTCCTGCTTTTGTTTTTGAGGACTGCTTTGCTACATCTGGCCATTAACCTTTCCTTGCTAGGACTACACATCAAGGAAGCAAGAAAAATACATCCTAGTTTGTAAGCAGAAGTGTGAGGCTGGGAGGCCTGTGCACTAGGAAAACAAATTTGAATAACACCACATAAGGACACTTATGAATCCCTTCTGCTACAGAATCTGTACCTCCTACATTTCCCTCCAAAATGAGAAGCCAGATGCTCGACTGATAAATATGAAGTAGAATAGGAAAGAATTAGAAAATGCCAAAGGTTTTGCCTTTGAAGTGAGGAATTTTAAAACTGATCTTAGTTGAGAATTAAACACGCACATTCTTGGAACAGTTACAAATTACATTTGTCTGACAAATCTAATCTTGCTCGGCAATGTCTGAGGAAGATAAACTTGAGAAATGTGACAGAAGTAACTGCTTCAGTGAGGGTGATTTTGCCAACTCTTGAACATTTGTCTGAGAAGACAGACTCGCTTAGGCTAAATTTTCTTTGACTCATAAGCACATGCAGTAAATGGAAAATGTAAAAGGTCCAATTTCAACTTGGGAGGAAGGAATATTTCAGCAGTTGTTTCCCCCACCCCTCCCCACCCCGTATCACTACTTAATCACTTAATCACCTGGTCAGTGCAGCATCTTTCGTTCTGTGGGTGGCTCCAAAGCTATTCCACCTAGTGGAAGGTGCTTTGGGTATGCCACGGATAACGTGCTCAGTAGTAGTAGTACATAAGCTGTCCAGTTCACGTCAAAGTACTCCTTCGTAACTAGTGCAATGGAAAATTTCAAAGCAAGAGTTCAGCTGTATAGCTTCTCGGTGCCAGGGATTCTCTAATACTTCAAAGTTGTAAATGTGAGGCTAGATAGTTTACATGATGGTGATTTGTGACTGTTGACATATCCTCTATTCAAGCTGTGTGCTATTCATGTTTGTGTTTGTTTTTAAAGGGGAATGTTTAAAAATGGATAAATATTACTTTTGTCTGGTCAGAGATTTAGAGGGGAAAAACAATACTTATAAAGGATGTTTTGTTTTTCGACACTGTTGAATCCTCTCTCTTCTTTCTTCCTAATAAGAAAAAACCCCACCAAAATCCAACAGAAAAAGAATGAAAACCCAACTGTGGTTCTTGCAGTGAAGCCAAACTGAAATCTATAAGTGACCATGGGAGATGTACAGTATGATTGCATTCAGTCTGTGTCTGCTGTTCCCACCTCTGAAAAGCGTAATAATTTCTGGCATCTGTGAAGCAAAAGATGGTTTTCGAATAAAGGCTTTTGGACTTTACAGTTAAAAATATATTTCAATATGTGCATATAATATATATGTAAATACATATTTTTATCTGCTGCAGCTCTTATTTCTTTGATGCTATTCTATTGCATAACTTTCTTAATCAGAAAATAAATACTCGTTATAAATACATCTTTGTGTTTTCTCAGAAGTACATTGTTGCAGTTTGTGTAATGGCAAGCTACAGGAAAAGTACTGCTAGAAGGTTATTAAACCTGCAAGTGAAACATGTCTTACCTCACTTGTGTCCCAAGTCCAGTTTTGCTATTTGTGTATGTGTATTTACATTTACACTATATATGTTTGAGCGTATGAAGTTATGTATGTATGCATATGTGTGTATACACACACATCTAAATGAAGGATTATGTATTTGGACACTGTGGTTTGACTAGAAGTTGAGTTTTAACTCAACTCAGCTGTTAAATTACATAGTAGGGGACTGGGAAACATGATGGAGAGACAAAATCACAATGGAATGGACTAGTGGTAGCCTATAAGAAGCAAGATGAATAAGAGTGGGCTTTCTTAGCCATTTAGCATCCTAACAAAATGCTATTTGTAAAATAAAAAAATACAGAAAATTAATTGCATAAAATATTATTAAGATGGAAGTAATGAAAATGAGAGAAAAGTGGAAGACAAAGAGGCTTATGTAAATTATCTTTCTAGAATATCTGTTACTTTCAGTGACCATGACAAAGCCACTGGCAATGGAAAGCATGGTATAGTATGAGAATTTGAATAAATCATGTTTTTATTTTGTTGACGGTGCAGTTTCTTATACTAGGTACAGGACTTTTCTGCCAATTGTGATTTGTTAATCCCATCTGGAATTCTTTACAGCAAACTTCCATTGTACAGCAGTGTAGGAAATACTGGAATTGCACAGTAAGCAACAGGACTGTATTTAAGAAATTCTGCAGTTACCCACTAGTCAAATGAAAGGTATGAAAGACGTATGTCCAATAGACAGCAAAAACATGTACTTGTTACGTTTTGCTTAGTTACTGCATTAAGTGTTCTGGTTGTAGTTATGTATTTGCAGATTGTTAACATAATTAGAGCTGTCTAGTTGAATTGTTAAGCAACTAAACTTTTCAACAAATAAGTAAATACTAGCTTGGTGGTTTTGAGTTAGTTTCCAGTTCCCGTGCTTAGAGTTAAACCTCAAAATTATCTTCTTCCACAAACATTTGCAGACAGGATGAAAAAAAAAAACCCCAAACCCCCCTCCCCAAAACAAATGGGTGATTTTATTAAAGCACATTTCTATTAAAATCTTTGTATGAGTGGATAAAGCTCATTCTTGCAAAACTAACATTCTCTTTTCAGTACAAATCTTAAGAGTATTAAGTAGAGGTATTAAAATTTTATGAAACATGGCTTCCTGCTGTGTTGGTTCAAAAAAACAAACCATCATTTCAAAAATCAAAGTGTATCAGCCATCAGTCATCTCTGAGCAGGATGAGGCCTATCTAGTGTTTATTTAAGCAATACATAAAATCTAGTAAGGAAATGATCTACAGTGGAAGTAGAGTGACACTGTTTTCTTAAATATTTTCATTATAGTTTCTGGTACTTGGGCAGCTTGAAAGCCGTGTAGTATTCAATGTTACTACATGTTAGATATTAATGTGTTTTACGTTACCTTGCAGCAGAAGTGTCATTGTCAGAGTAAGAAATAATTTAGAAAAATTGTGAAACACTTAATGCTTCAGAGATTTTTTTCTATGTATTTTAGTGGCATAGCAAAATAAAAATGTTAGAATTGTTTACAGGAATACTGTATGTAAAAAGTATTTCTTCAAAAGCATTATTCTAAAAGCTTTTTATGACAGTCCTGTTCTCTGAGATGTCTCAAATACAAAAAAGGAAGGGAACTAGGACTGATGGTGAATCTTAGTATGATACTAGTATGATATCAGGACATTTTAAGGTTTTTCCTTGCAGTGCGTACTTGAACTTGTCACCGGTGCTGCAAAAGTGTCACTGATCGATAGCCCCAGTTTTGTTCTTGATTCCTAAAAGCATATATGATATCTAGTGATACATTTACCTGCTAGTGGTATCTTAATCTGTAGGAAGACCCATACATAGCATTAGTCTCTGGTATTCCACTTTACCCTTTCAGTACAGAATTATTGACCTTATGAGTCTCTCAGTATCACTGACACCAAATGGATAAAAAGAAGTCATGTTTCAAAAACAAAAAAAAAAAGAAAAGGCATTTGAGTGCTTTTATTGCTTTTATGCTAAAAAAAAAAAGTTCTTTTTATTTGCCTTTTGCCTCTTACATTTATAAAAATCCTTTCCCTGTGGCTGAAAAACTTGGAAATGAATCTATGATACGTCTACTTCTAATGCAAGTTGTTATCCTCTTGAAATCACGCAATGTTTTTCCTGGTGGCTGTCACTGTTACCCAAAGATAACACCCAGGTGCCTTCTTTTTTCTGGGGGTGTTTTCAGAAGGCCTTGCTTTGCAGTGTGAGGTAGTGTTTCAATTCATCCAAGTCAAGAAATCAACCTGCCATTTTGAGGTTAAAAAAAAAATATAATTCCAGGCTCATGTGTGTCAGTATGAATTATAGATGATAGATCTGAAAAACAATTGAGAGGTATCCTTTATTTATATGATAACTTCAATTTACAGGATGGGTTTTCAAACGTATTCTTGTGGTGGTGGCAGTCGTAGTTCTCAGCTGCACAGGTGCATGAAAGAAAGTGTTGAACTACTTAGGAAATGTATGTGGTTTTGCTGTGATATGACTTCTACAGTTGCAGAATCTTTAATCTAGATTCAAAAGATGCTTTTTAAACATATGCTTTCTCAGAGACAAAACAGCCTTTGGAACTCCTCTGGAATTTGTAGCAAATCTACAGGTGAGCAATGAACATGCGTAAGAATATTAATGTGTAAATGATCTGCACCTACTTACTGACTGCATTTGTTTTCCACAGTTTTTAAGTATGCATTTTTGCAAGGCCACTGGCATGAGATACACACACATAATAAAGCTGGATTTTTGTCTCTTTTCCAGAGGGTTCGCAGAATTCAGTTTCAGCTTCTAATGAGATCCAGCAGAACCAGCCACAGGCACTACACTATGCACTAGCCAACGCTCAGCAGGTTCAGATCCACCAAATAGGAGAAGATGGACAAGTCCAAGTAGTATGTACTCAACTTTTTCTAAATTATTCCATTTAAACAATCTAGATTATTGCAACTTTGCTTCAGTGGAAATTTAATTTTTTATTTTCAAAAAGTGACGTATCACCACTTCCTAAGCATGATTTTCAGAAAGTAAACATTGAAGGCTTATGAAAAAATTTTTAATGTAGCAAAAATCTTCATGCAGGATTTGCTCACACAGTTGTTGCAAATAAATGCACATTCTTTACTGTATATAGAACTGATTAGTCTCTACCTGGCTGTTTGCTTGCACTTGCCATTATAATAATAGCAGACCTACTAAGCACATGATTTACACTTCAGGGGTAGTTCTGACTATGACTTTCTAAACAAGAATGCATTTGTTTGTTTATTTTCATTTAAACCCCCCTGCTTTCTCAGGCATTTTTGAACATCTGTTAGCTGAATCCTTTACATGTGTATTCATTTAGATACGTGTATATAAGTAAAAGTTATAAATATTGACATTTTTTAAGCCTGAGACCCATACCATAACTTAGGCCATGATTATTTTATATGTGTTTTTCGTGTACTCTGAAAAAACTCACCTTGGCTGTACTTCCTGTGTGCCACAGTTTGACTGTAAGGATTGTTTTAAATTCAAATTTTACAAAAAAGTAGAAGAAAATAATGAAATAATGGATTGTGTGGCATTTCTGATGTGCGGCATTCAGAAATAGTGAACTGTATCTGCACACTCATTCTTTTGTGGTAGAAACCTGAGAATTTGATGTGTGAAATCTGTCTGCCATTAGTTTTCAAAAACTTCAGGCTTTGCAGGTTTCGAAGGTACCAAGAAGTTTGAGTATGGGCCAGCACTCAACTGTGCCAGGCAATGTCCAAGCACAGAATGGAAAGAAACATGCACAGACATGCATGTACCCATTCTGCATGATGATCACATAAGCCCACTTTCCTTAGAAACCAGGCTAAAGAAGCAGGTAGAAATGGGCAAATAAACAAGAACTCTTGAGAGATATTAGTCAACAATATAAACTGTAGTACCCAGTGGTCTGGCTTTTGCAAAGGTTTTAGTCAACGCCATTACAAAGAAGAGTCTGAAGTAGGATAATGAAGCATCTTTGGTAGATATTTATAGTATTCTCTCCCCAGGTAAGAGAGGCAGTGCATGAGAGAAGGAGCAAATGTGCCCAACTGAATAATTTGCACATGGAGAATGAAAACACAGGGAATACTCAAATCTGGTCGGTGTGGAAATGGTGAAGTTGCTCAGAAATATGATGAAGAGAAAAGGCTATAAAGGACAGATGCTTTTGGAATGTTATCAAAAAAGACATGTCTGTAAGACCTGGTGAAAGTTTACTGCAGTACCAGTAGAAGAATTAGAGGAGAAAAGTGTCATGGAAATGGCAGGGGGGGAAATTTAAAGATGTGCGGCACAGTGTTGGAGACAACTGGCAGAGCTGTAAGCATTGCTTAAAAGGAGGACTTAAATATTAGCCAGAATATTTTTTAAGGAGTGCATGGCGGTGGAAGGGGTTTGAGATGAAAATGATTGAGAGGACCTCCAGAGAGCAGCTGTAAGAGTTGTGGAGAGGAAATTGCAGTAGAGAGCACATTCTTCCAAAGTGAAAAAGGTTGCTTATAAAGTAAGAGAGAAGAAAGAGCTGGAGCATGGCTGTAAGGGATGCTAGGAACCATTAGCTGTGAGATTCAGATAGGGTCGGAAAGTCTGGGCCACCCCTTTTGTTTTCCCAAAGGCCTTGCCCTTTCCTGTTACGTACCTGGATACCATATGACTTAAATAGAAGTTGAGGTGGGAATCCTGGAGAGTGATTGCTTAATGGAACTAGATCGTAAATGCTTTGAGTTACTATCCTCAAACATGGATGAGGACTAAAGAGAAGTGCAATAAATAAACCTGCAAACTTTTTTTCCCTCCTGTCAGTTGAGAGCATCCTCATTGAAATAATGCTCCTTCTGCAGAAAGGGGGTGCAAAGGTTCCATTTCGCCTTCACTTTTGCCATAACCTTACAGTATTGTTGTGTGAATTTTTTTGTCTCTTGGTTTCCCTATATATTTTAAAGAGCATATCTTCTTAACTGCTGTATGGATCTTTTTATGAGATTTAATTGATGACTGAAAAGTATTTTTCAAGTCTTGAAAGACAAGGTAGAAGGGAGAATTATATGAAATACATGGCTATAATAGACAAAATGGTTATGCTTATAGATGTAAGTGATGAAACTTTACCTCATTAAAAGATCTGAACCTGTCAACTATCCTTTAAATTGATTGTGGAATCCGGGAAAAATCCACTATGACCCACAACCACTCTCTAAATGTTGTCATAATTTACCAAACACGTAGAGGGGTCCTAGGTTGAAACAGATGAAGATGATATTGCTTTTTCAGTTCTAGGGAATGATACATGTAGATCAGGGTAAGAGTCATTAGTAAGGTAGTAGTTATTCATACTATATAAGTTTTAAAAAAATCAGTATTGAGTTGAATTTGTGAACAAACTAAAAGGACTGTCCTTAAAGGCCAGCTATGTATCTGCAAAAGATGAGTGAGCAGTTCTTTTTTGGAATGCTGCATGATACAAAGGTGAATAATGTCACCTTCTCCCCCCTCCCTTTAGTCAGAAAGGATTGCTTATATTTGAAAACGCTATAAATGGATCTTTTAAATGTTCAATGCTTTTTCCTGGGAGCCCTGAGAGCTTGATGTTAAGGAGGGAAAGTGATTCTAATCTCAACATGGACTGGGCTGTGCTCTAATTTTATATACAGTCCCCATTGTCAGAGTGATACTTTCAGTATGTTTTTTCTCCCTATAAATAGACAGTTTCCTTCCAAAGGAAATGAAACTGTTTGAAATAGAGGGATCTGTGTTTCTTTGAAAATCACATGCAATTGTTCTTGTGTTATAAAATAAGAAGAGCCTTTGACAGAATTCCAAATAATTATCTTTAATCTCTGTCTCATGCAGGCATATTAAAATGAACACAAAGCCTTATAAACCTTGAAGTAGGTTATTTAGAATCCAATCTCCCTTCAGGTAAATCACAGTAGCAAAGACTTTGCTGGGCTAGTCAGGATGCACAAGGAATTCCGTCCACTCTCTTATCCATGTTTTGATCAAATGGTAGGCTTGATACCATTCTGAAGTAGTGGGTATGGTCAGCAATATAAATTATTAACATTATTAAAACTGTTAGGGCAGATTCTCCACTAACATAAAGCAGTGTAACTGCATTCAAATTATTGACTTCGTGCCAATTTATAGCAGCTTGAGAGATAGTCTTTAGCATGATACTGTACTTCTACATAACTATGCGAATGTACAAAGATACATGGATACTTAGAGATACCTTTTAAAACCTCACTCTCAGTGAGTAGTTAGTCTTGGTGTATCAGTTTTAAGAACTGAGTTTCCAAGGTCTTTAAATAGGATTAATGTTTCAGGCACAATGCTCATCTACCAAAGCAAGTTAGTCCCATGCTTTGTGTATCAGTCAAAAATGCAGATACTTTGTCTATAGAGAAATGCACTACATAAATGTTATTTATTATGATGCCTATTTTCCTCCCTCTTATGTGAAAATGAACCATTCTTTCTTCAAAGTCACTCTGCTTATACTTTGCATAAAAAGATGGGGAAATAAGGTTGCACTTCATTTTTTTTTTTTAAGTTATCTTTGATGGTTTTCATTGAATAAGCATTTTGCTTCCATATGTTAAGCTGCATTGAATCCAAGGTAATAGCTTCTTCCTCTAGTTATGATTTTCTTCTGATGCTCCTTGGTGTTTTCTTTTGTTGTGGATCCCACAGGGCCATCTCCACATAGCCCAGGTTCCTCAAGGCGAGCAAGTCCAAATCACGCAGGACAGTGAGGTAAGTCAAAAGTTTGGGTGCCCGTGGAGCAGGCATTGGTCAGAACTTAGGGCCCTGATTCTAAAACCATACCTCTGAGATCTGTTACAATACACTATGGAGACCAGCGGGGGTAGAAGTGAGAGCATGTTGTGGAGCTGGGACGAAATGTGCTTTATGGCCATTTCTTTTTGGTTGGTTTTGTTTTTTTTTTTTGGTTTTTTTTGCTTGTTTTGGTTTTTTGGGGTTTTTTTTTGTTTGTGGTTTTTTTTCCCCTCGACCAGCCAAGACAGCTCCCTGTGTGTGTTACACTAATGATTGTTGTATACGGCTGATGGTCTTTGCTGGAAATTTAGTACTTACAGAGTATTATAGGAAACCAGCTTAGGTGTTTGCACTGCCATTGAGAAAGGAAATTATTTTAGTTAGGTTTATGAACTAAACGTGTTCAGAATACTCAGTGTCTTTAATTGTGGGAACTGTTGAACAGGAGTTGGAGAAACCTCCAGATGCCATCTAGTAAAGATATGAGGATGAGCGGTAATGGATTTAAACTGAAAGAGGGTAGGTTTAGATTAGATACTAGGAAAAAATTCTTTACTGTGAGGGTGGTGAGGCACTGGAACAGGTTGCCCAGAGAAGTGTGGATGCTCCATCCCTGGAAGTGTTCAAGGTCAGGTTGGACGGGGCTTTGAGCAACCTGGTCTAGTGGAAGGTGTCCCTGCCCATGGCAGGGGGGTTGGAACTAGGTGAACTTTAAGCTCCCTTCCAGCCCAATCCATTCTATGATATATTGCAGAATGAAGTGAATTTACCTGCGTTACTGATCAAGTAATCTGGCACTGCAGTATTTACACTTTGTAATTTTTTCCATAAAAATAGTACATTAGAATGGAAACGGATATGGATAAATCCGGTACTGAACCCTTCATTTTTTACTTTTTTTTTTACCCCCACTCAGGCAAAACAGCTGTTAAAGCCAGCTGAATTTACCTGGGAGAGAATGCTATTGTTATTTAAGAATGTATAGAGGCTTCTGACTGCTAAGACTGCTGTTAGATTTCCTGTGCACTTAGTTTATTTACATGAAGAAGCAACAGCAAAATAGAGGTTAAACATAAATGCAGACTACAATTTTAATCTGTATGATTTCCCTGTAGAGGTTTTTTTACTCAACATTAAGCATATCTGCCTGTGAGTTAGTTTAATCCGTTTCCAAAGTACCCTAAATCACATCTCATAAAACCACTTTTGGTGTGGAGGACTACTGTTAACTCAGGGAGCTATTGTAGAATAAATATTATCATAAATATTATATAAATATTATCATTAAAGGCAGTCTCCTTTGAAGAGCTTGTCAGACCTAAAGAGAAATAAGAAAGGATCAAAATGGTCTGGGTCTAAAGGAATGCATAGTGTGCTACAATAACACTGAAGTGGTTCTTGGGTAAAGAGCCACTGGAAAAATTATGATTCAGCACATGCTAGTTGTAATTGACCCTGAGGTTCAAGCACACCCCGGTGTCCATTGGCTTCATCTGAAGTTCCCGTATGTAAGACTTTTAAGGACTGCATTTGTCCGTGACAGATGAAAACATCTGGTTTTAAATTTATTACAATGTACACAGCTTCAAATAAAGGGAAGTGCTGCCAGTAAAAGAAAATGCAGAAAACACGCAAATCAAAGAATTGATATTTTTTCCTCAAAGAAATGTGCTATTTCACTGCAAGTCTCTGTGTTTGGGAAGCTGTTTTTCTTAATCTAAGTGTACTTTTGAAAAGACGCCTTTGAGCATATGAATAAAAGTTTCATTTTGTAAAGATACTGCTTTCCTTTTTAGACTTTGTAGGTACACTTTTCTTTAAAATAGTTTACATTATTGAGATTTTTTTGTAATAGATGTAATTCCTGTAATAGAACTATGTTTGTCTTTGGAATTGAATTTTGATAAAATAAAAAAATGTGTTAGCACAGGCAGTAACATTATAACAACAAGTAGTAAATAGCACTCATACATGTAAAAGTGTTACACTGCTAATTCTAGTTTAGTAAGGGTTTGACTTAAAATTGCGGTTTTATATGAATAAGGAAAAACAAAAATCTTACCTCAAAAGCAATACAAACAAACTTTGCACAAAATACTGTACATTCTAGAGTAACTTTCAAAAAGCAAAACATGCTGGTGCTGGAAAACCTTCTTGCTTTTTAGTCTTTTTATCCTCTGTGGTTAAAGTGCTGACCATTGAATTGTAGCTGGATTGCCAAAATAACCCTCAGCAGAATTTCCTAAATTAATACATTTCCTTAATATTGAAGTTGTTTAATAATGAGATGAGAAAGAGGCCTTTTTCAGGACAGAGCAACTTTTTAAATTCCAAAGTTGTGTTTATTGTCAATGCTCTTATTTTACAGGGAAACCTGCAGATACATCAAGTTCACGTGGGTCAAGATGGGCAGGTAGGAACAGAACTGAGTTTTAAGCAGTATTTTACTTTGGTCTTTAAAATTAATGTTGCGATTGGAATGATCTCACATTATTAGTGGCTGTTTTAAAGAGGAAAATCTGTTCTGGTTTTTCTGTTTAAATAAACAACTTGCAGAATGATAAAACATAAGCTAAGTATTTTGTCTGTGGACTGAAAGAATTTGACTAAGCTTATTTCATTACTTGTGCAACATACTTTATCCTTGTGTTTTATACTTTCTTGTCTTTGGCCTCTTCACTTTTACATTTACTAACTGGATTGATTACATTGTGTGCAATATGTTTGTTTCTGTTATCAACTGTCACTATGGCCAGATGTGGACTGCAGTCCGTGCAAACCGAAGAACATTTATTGCTGAGGTTTAAGCAGCTATTTTTTCATTATATGGCTGTCTTGGGAGAAACAGATCTTTCACATCTGCTTTTGTTCTTTTTGATAAGATGGCTTTATTAGGTGCTTATGCATACATGAGGTAAGAAAAAGAAGCTTTTACTTTGAGTGATGAGTCAATAAGTGATTAAATTAGCAGAATTTCCATGTCAGGTGTCAGCAAAATTGCTAACATTTGATCTCAGACACACTTTACTAAATGTTGAGCTATATAGAAATATCCACAGCACAAAAGTATTCCTGTAAGAAGCTTTCTAGCCAGGCCACTTGAATAAATGTGTTATGAATTTTTTTGTTCCTGTTGAATATTAATAAGTTAAGACATATGGCTAGAACTTGAATGCTGCCCTGAACTGAAAAGGCTCACATCCTGAAGGTGCTTGAACACAAAGGCCTTGAGAAACTACCAGTACTCTGAACTTTTGACCACATACAGTATTTGTGTGGGGAAGCAATCTAACTTGTATTTAAATAACAAAAATAAACCCCCCACAAACTTTAAGTGTTCTTTACTGAGATTTTAATCAGAAATACTTCTGCAGAAGTGAGATTAGGAAAGGTGATTTTTTGGAGACGTGTCTAAACCTTTGTTGTAATACTTACTGCTCTTTTTTTCCTTCTTTGTGAAATGCTGCTGTCCAAATTGCATCTTCTTAAAAGACTGATGTTGGGTTGTGTTATGTCTTTCTGAGAGTGGCATGTAGACTAAGTTAGTTTGGTGGGTTTTTTTTTTAATTATAGCCCAGTCCCATTATTTTTCCCCTTTAAATATGTACTCATAACAAGTATTCCACAAATTGCATCTCTTTCTTAAATAGAACCAAAGAATGTAGTTTAAAACGTTGTTGTGAGTTCATGCTGTTTTTAAGGGAAATGCTTGTATGACTGTATTTTCCTGACCCTCCATGTTAGGCAGGGAGAGGTGAGTCCTTTCATACAACAGTAACATTCAGCCGTGTCTCATGCTAAAACAGTCACAGAGTAAAAAACCGTAAACTCTGTAGAGTAGTAAAATGCTTTGAAACTCTAAGTGCCCATAAGTGGAGTCTTGCTGATCTTCTGAGCAGTTGCATTAGTACATGCAGAATAAGGCAACACTGGAAGAAAGGTATTCTAAAAGTATGTGTTTGTAAATGTGTGCATACATGTGTCTGTGCATATATGTGGATATGTGATATATGTTTGTTGAATTGGGTGAGAGCACACACAAGATAGGGAAGAAAAGCATGATTTAATCTTTGTTGTTGTTGAAATTAACATCAGCTTATCCATATAAATGCATCTGTACTATTACATCGTATATCACGTTTGTGATAATCTTGTTTCCGCCTAAGTGGTTGTGTCTGTACATGTCTATGTAGGAAATCAGTTTAGCATCCAATTTTGGGGTTTTTAACTAACTGTACTCTGGGCCCTGCTTTTAAACTTCCTTGAACACAAATGGTGAAGTGCTGGGTTTTTTTTTTCTTCATGCATTCAGCTGCATTTTGGTACAAAAGAGTAACTGCTGTCTCTTGAGCATCAACAGTCAGGCGTTGTCACACTTCAGCAGCTATCTGTGCAAATTCACAGGAACCCTGAAGCTCCTCTGAAAGTATTTGCTGCTTAACTTTTTTCCAGTGGACCAAAAAATAGGAGCAAGCAAATATTTAGGGGATTTTTATCTCCATTCTGTGTTAGATATTGAAACCTTCATCAGCAGTTTAAGCCATGTGGGCCTGTTTTGCACTCAAGTGGATGAGTAGCACTCACATGATTTCTTGCAACAGCTCCGTGTGTGTTATGCGAGGGGGTAGAGGGGAGGTCTGTGGCTCCACTGGCTTCTGCTCATCAGCTGATCTGTGTTAAGTGACCATTTTTTGAACTATTAGCTCATAAAAATTGCAAAGGAAAATGAGTTAAACTAAACTGCGTTTGTGGTTTAAGAATGGAAGTTGAAACTAATACATTTTCCTTGGCACTTGTAGTGGGATAAGAGCACAAAAACCTGTCATATGATATGGTTCAGTGGTAATATAAGTCATAACAATCCAGTAGCTTGCAATCATCTGTACATGACCTGTGATCAAAGAGACTTCTGTAGTTTTCCCACCTGTCCATTACTTTTCAGGAGAGTGGCTTTTTCTTCCATGTTTTGAACTCTAATGCCCGCTGCCAAGGGACACTGAAGAATATTGATAAGGAAAGTGAATGATGTGGCATTTCTGTTACCGAATATTTTTAGCTGGCTAATATATACTTACTAATGGTACTAGATACTAGATCTTAGCTTGCCTACTAAATATTCCCTTTGAAAATTCATCTCATGCTGCTGTTTTCCACATCTTATTGTACACTTCACAGATGTCAGGTATTCTCTCTATTCAGGTGAGGTTTAGTACTGCCACCTGATGCAGGCTTTTGCTCTGAATCACAAGTAAAAGGTTTACAAGAAGCTGGGACTGCAATGCATAAAGTTGTTAGCTTCATATGAACTAAAGCATAAAATGGCATAAGTCTACTACTTATCAATATTTTATCAGTAAAATTTCCAAGGTGTTACGTATGTTTTAAGCTTTGTAATACCAGTAATAAATACTAGCTTCTCTGCAGAATGCTGCCAGTTGTTTATTTTAACTTTCCCGCCCCCCTCTTGAATTGTCTGTCCTGGTAGTTGCACTGAATTTAGATCTTGTTTTTCTGGCACCATTGTTCGTGGAACTAATGAAATCATGCCAAAAAGAATGCTGTCTACCTACACATGTGTTCTATTAGCTGAAAGTTTCATATTTCAGTGCACGTTTAATAAAAATACCAAACTGCAAAAATAATTAGACTTCATATTAACTAACACTTGAAGCCTTGGACCAGTGGGAATCTTTTTGGACTTTGCATTTTATACTTTTGAATTACCAGAAGTTTTCTAACTTGTTTCTCTTTTTCCTCTGATTACCTGCTCTCCTTTCTCCCTAACTCCATCCTTTTCTTCCTTTGAGCTTCAGTGTTCTGCATCCCAGGAGGTGTTCAGTGTGTGTCCTGCACAAGCTGACGTAGTGCCAGTGTTCAGAAATATACATGCGGTGTAAAGAGGCAGAACAAGAGAATTTCAGTAGTTTGCCATTCCTTGATTCTGCATTTTAGACACTCCATTTTGTACACCCTCACAGCCAGTTTCTCCAATTTAGAAATTAATTAAAATGACACCAGGCAAATGGTCTTCAACTAATAGCCTTAGTTCTTAAATTAAAAAGTTAATGCACTTTAAAATCTAAAGTATGATCATATGTATTCCTGGAGAGCTGACAATTTGTTCTGCTCAATGAATGAAAAATTAATAAGAGTAGCAGCATTTAATTCACTTAGTATCAGTATCTGTAGGTAAGTTAGAAGCAGCTGGAGGATCCAGAACAAACAGCATGTATGATAGTTTTAGCAGAAAAAAAGCTAGTCAGTGTAAATTGCTTCTGTAGTATCAGTCGTATTACTGTGTGCATATGAAATAAACATGCAGAACTGCTTCTGCTACATTACATTTTTCAAAAAACCCACAAACTTGGCATCTTACATAGTTGTAGACACAGTCTCTTCCAGATAAATTTGTAATCAAAGTGGTGTGCTGGGACCCATCCATAACTGTTGAGTTACATATACGTAGAGAGAGAGGGGATCACATTAATAACACATTTTTCTGCTGCTTAATGAGGTATTTGTGTGGAGCAGTGATTGCATTATCTTTTTCTGAACTTTTACTCTGACCTTGCTGCTATGAGCTCTATGGCAGCTCTGAGGTCTAGGGGAGTTCAGATACCGGGCTGTGGAGGTAGCTCACCCAGTGAGCTTTAGAAAAACATCCTCATATGTGTAATGTTCGTATGAGAGTACACGAATCCGTGATCAGAAAAGATACGCTTGGAAAATTGCTGTAGTGATGGAGAAAATACAGCAGACTTCAGTGCTGCGAAGTAGCAGCTAGCTGCTGTTGGGTCTGAAAGGTTAGAATATAGACGTGTATGAGAAATAGATCAGTGAGAGTTTGTCTTTAATGTCCTCAGGAGGAGTATGAATCTGATGTCTCGTTCAGATCTGTTTTCAATACACATAGTACACCCTGTAATACAGCTCAGAAGGAGATATGACCTCATCACCTATGTTTGAAACATCTGTCCGATTTCTGTACTCTGCTGTAGTCTGAAGTAAAGGGCAAGCTGTTAAATCTTAGAGGAATGGAAAAGGGGGAGAAATGCTTCCAAATGTTCAAGGGGAAAAAACCCCTATTCTGTTAATCCCACATAATATCCAGTGAATCTTTTCTGTGACTGGATCAAACTAAAATGGAAATAGGTTGGTTTTAGAGGAAACTATTTACAAACCTATGGGACAGTCTTAAACCAACTCTTCTAACATCTGGTTTTTGTATCTCTGTTTACCTCCCTGATCGTTATTGAGATATTCACACCTTGCTTTTCAGTGAGGGCACCACGCTTTTTTAAGGTCAGATTTAATCCACAACTCGAGCCTGATTTTTCAGTTATACAAACAAAAAATGTGTTGACATATTAACTTGGGCTTCTGCTCGCTTTTATCCATTTTGCAGATGTTGTT